GTGTTACAAGGAATGTTAAACGCCTTTGGCCACTGGGGGACATTAAACTCCAACTGAAACCTTTAAAAATCAAGAACTGATTTAGTTTTTTTGATTTATAGTAGAAGAAAAATGATAAGTTACAGTTTTACAGTAAACCTGAAATACATTTTCAGATCTACAACATCCTTTTATTTCCCTGTTTTTAGATAGAAATAAGCTACATATGGCCACTGTAGACAAATCTCTTTTTATTGCATGTTTGCTGAACTTAAACATTTCTAATGAAATATACTTTTTACAGCTAAATTGAACACATTTCAGCATTTCTGGAAGAAATCAGTCTTGTCTTTCGTGTAAGAGGGAAGAAGTGGCTGCTGGATTAAAGCGAGATGAATGCATGAAAAGAGAAATCTACCGTGGCTGCCAGTGTACTGTATATGTAGAGCTACTGTACTTTTTACGTTGAACACCGTGGGCCTTCCTTACACATTTCATGCACATTCTTACCAAAGTTTCTGAAGCTGCTTGTGTCCTAAAATGCTGTGAACTTTACAATTCTTGTTGCTACATGTTACCTGAACGCTGCAGTGCCTTTTACAGTGCCTTGTGTTAATGAATTTACACGCTACAATTTTAACATGACCTACTATCAAACTTCTTACCCCAACAGTGTTCATGTCTTCCTGTGATGTCAAAGCACACTCCACCCTCATCCTCACCCTGGTTGCGGTAGATTTAGTCAGTGTTGCTTAGGAAGATTCATAAAATGATGTGCACCTGGCAGCCATAACAAGAGCAGCTCAAATGGTAAATACTAAATAAGGGGGCTTCCTTTAGCATATCTAGAGATGCCCTGGTGGTGACCAGTCGGCAACCCCCTGAGACCCACCGCTAGGAAAAATATTCCCACTCCACCAGCCATCTGGCAAATAAAAGTGTGACTCCTGGTGTATCATAGACATGATACGTGAGTTTCTGAAATGTCTTACATCATCAGTGTGACCCTTCCCCCCCAAATTGTAAAGAAATTGCACAGTGAAAGAAGCGAAAAAAGAAAAATCTGATGTAGCAAATATGACACAATTTAAATCTCAGATATTCAAATGATTATTTTATGAATTAACAATAATTGTCAGAAGGTTCAATAGACTCCATTTTCAAAAAATCAGGTTAATGTGCCCTTTAAAGTGTCAGTTTTAATGTTACCTCAGAAGACCAGCTGGAAGCACAGGACCACGATTCTTTTACTTCCACGAAGGCCAAGAAAAAATGATCAGAAAGGCATAAAAGTTGGGGTTTTTTGTGACTACTCGACTGCAACCAGCCGTTTTACCTTTCTCCTTCAATCATATAACATAACGAAGTTTAGAAAAGATGTATTTATGCTAAAGACTTGAGCTGCCTTCAGTTACTTTTTGCTCGACCTATGCCAGAACTTTCTTTTCCTAATCGCAGAAGCTTATAGACCAACTCTGGTCATTACCCAGTGAACCCAGCAGGGTGTTTTGGATCCTACGAACAAACCCTTTGTCTCTGCGCTCCTGATTTACATTCATGTCACATGTTGAAAGGATCTAGAAATTTTTAAAGGTAGATCAAGTCGAACAAGATAATTTACCTACTTATTGAAGTATGAGCTTTAACTGTGGCGCTCACGTTAGTCAAACACTAACAAAGGATCTTTATGAAACACAGAAAGCTTTTTTAGTAACTGCAGAAAAATTGGTTTCACGAAATCGTTCACTTGTCGCACCATAGCGTGACCGTTTTTTGTACTTTTTCACTGTCTCCTGGGAGGAGCAACATTTCTCCTGGTATGTAAAGAAATAAAAAATGAAATGCCACTGTGGGAGGCTGCAGACTCCCTCTGGGTACTGGTTCTTTAATGCAGCACGCAAAGAAAGCATTTAAGGAAAAGACTGTGCAAGCAAGG